TTTTCTCTGTATCTATGAAGCGCCTTGAGGCGACTTTTGTTGTGATTTGGCGCTATATAAATAAAATTGAATTGAATTAACAGAAGCTTTTTGGGACTTACTTGATGCCGGGAACTTCGCAGGACTTCGGCCGGGATGACAACAACGGCAGCTGGGAAAGAAAAATCCAGAACAACAGAAATGACTCAGAAGCATCAAACACAAAATCACTGAGTAAACTTTAGAACAAGCTAAAAACACAAAACTTAAAATGTCAACATGTTTCTAAAACGGACCCTGCAGCAGCTGTGTCAGGATGATAATGAGATTTTGACTCATTTAACTTCCATAAACTAGTGAGAAATGTCCTTCGCATACTCTCAGGACATTTATGGAGATTGGAGGGAGAAATGAATATAAATGTGAATATTTAATGTAAGGGTGAAACAGGCAGATGGTGTTTCTGTGGGTTTTACCTTCTTGGTGTCCCAGGGTTTCATCAGCTTCCCCTCGTCCAACACGTTCTCCTCGATGGGAGGGACAGGATATGGAAACACTGAGGGACATAAAACACCGTGACTCACACGTGGAGAGGAGGGCTGTGATGCTTTAATGTGAAAAGCTCAAGGAGGGAAAAGCTGGCGTCCTTCATGCATTTGTCATTGTTGCACAAACATACAGCACAAGATTATCCTGCTAGCTGCACTTTCCTTTGTAACTATGTTGCATCCTTCTCATGTTTGCCCTGTACAGTCTCTTATTGGTCTTTACTTTTGTAAAGATGCTCATCTGCCCGACAACAAACAATATTCCTGTTCTACTGACATCCACAGTCATTCATCAGTGAGAGGAAGTTTGACCTTTGGACGTAGGATAAATGTGCGTTACTCACTTCTTCTGCCCTCTCCGTCGCTCTGACCTGCAGCATCACACACACACACACACACACACACACACACACACAGAATCACTGAAACGTGTCCGCTCAGGTCGTCGCCGTTACAATCAAAGCTGGATTTAAATGTTTCCCTGTAATTATTAAAAAAGGATAATCCTGCTGAACAGTTTCACTTTAACTTTCCAACATGTTTGAAGCTTCGCGCCCTGAACACGGACCGTCTTCCAAGTCTCTGATAACACACACCTGTGCTGGCGTCTGTTCGGTTCGGTTTCACTCACCGCCGATTCTGGCGTTCTGGAGGGCGAGCGTGGGTCCAGTGCTGAACGGGTCTCCGGAGGGCGGGTTCATCACACTGGTGTGGAGCGCTGAGTCGGAGTTCGTCCTGAAGGGCGAGAGACACCGACAGAGAGTTAAAGGGGGAGAGGAGCAAAGGCTTGGAGGAGGTGAAGGTTAGCGAGGGTGAAACAAAGAGATGAGACGCCAAAGAAACGCTCTTTCGAACTACGAAGAGACAAAAATGCCAAAATGAAAAGAAGCGACTCAAAAATAAATGAATTTGTCTTTAAAAACCAACAAAACATGAAAAAAATAAAACGCAGACATTAATTTACTTTTCTGTTTTATCTGTTTATGTTTTCACTGATGCTCAGCTGTTGGTCATGTCAGAGTGTAAAAACATATGATTACTTTGGTCTTTTCTCCTGCACAGTGCTGATTAATCATTAACTAATAATCATTAGCATGTATCGCGACTCTCCTCGCGACCCGACGTTTGGATGTTTTCTTTCAGGTTTTAATATTCGCCCTGGACGAGCAGCTAAACTCCGACGCCGTCCGTTTTCTGTGTTTTACTGCTCACTCATCGACCTTTGACCTTTCACTCTGATTTGCTGCCTTGGAGTAAACACCTGACCTTCAGGATCATCTGCAGATCGAGTTCCAGATGTTTCCACGGGGGTGAAGGTCATGTGATCTCTCGTCTTCCTGCATTTGTGCTACTGTATGTAAATGAAGGCGGAGTCATTCTGATCCATTTACTTGGGCCTGATGTTTAACCGACACTCACAGGAAGTAAAAACGTCTAACAGGCAATAAGAGGAAATATTGGAGTGTTTAATGTGATTTTGGCACTTCTGGCTCCCCGTAGGAGGCTCGCTCTGACTGCAAACAGCTGCACAACATGACCTCTGACCTGTGACAGCAGCTGCTGCACCCGAGGTCAGAGGTTTTCACGAGCAGCAGCTCGGGCCGAGTGATGAAGGAAGGAAGAAAGCTTCAAAGTCTGAAGCATCGAAAAGATCTAATTCTTCTAAAAGTCCACTCTGAAGGTTACAGCTGCAGGAAGGAAGAAGAGGAGGAAGTGAAGGTAGGAGGAGGAAGAGGAGGGTTCACCTGTTGAGTGCAGTGGTGGGGAGACGAAACAACTGGCTTTTATCCCCGGGGAAGTTTCCAGACCAATTCCTTTATGATCGACAAAAACAAAGTTATTTTGGTCTGACGAGCAGGAAGCAGCGACGAAAAGTCAAAGGGTGACGAAGAGGAGCAGAGGAGGAGGCTCAGAGACAAACAAGCCAAGCAGAGAGGGAGGCTCCGCGGCCTCGAGCTGCCGGGTCCTGCTGTACGGTGGCCCTGAGCTGCCAAACAAACCCGAGCGGTTGAATTCTGTTCATTTGTTTGTGACGGCAGGATGAAGGTCGAGCTTGTCCCACTTTTCATGTGTCGTGGTTTTCACTCCCTGTGGTGGCGTTGGCGTGGAGGATTTCAGGTCCCGCGGCTCCTTCAGTCCTCGTAACGCTCCGCCTGCGGCGGGGAGGGGTCAGCTCAGCTGGAGGCTTGTTGGACGCGATCTGAGCTGATGTTTCTGCACATCATGACATTTAACCGCCCCGCCCACGCCCCCTTCCTGCTTTGTTGTGGTTTTTTCTGAGTGCGTTATCGCCACCGTAGTTTGTGCTCAGACCCCCAACCTGACCACGCCGCCGTCCTCCTACAAAGGAGGTGGAGCGAGCGCAGGCAGACCTGAAACCAGTCAGTGGCAGAAACCTGGGGGGGCGGAGCTTCATAGGACACCTGGAGTTCGGAAGCCGGCCTCCCTCTGAAGGAAACGCAGAAAGAAGGCAGGAAGCAGCGGAAGAAGCCAAGAAGAAAGAGCCAAAGATTCCAGAAGAAGAAGAAGAGCAGGAGGAACACAGGCTGGAATCGGCTCCTCTCGGTCAACGCGAGGACCACGGGACCCTCTGAAGCCTCAGAGTCACCTCGCAGTCACTGCAGCGGGGAGGCGAGTCTTCCTCGAGCGCTGCAGCAGCACGGGTTAAACGCCCGTCACAATCACAGAACATCTGTGTACAGATGTTATTCACGGGTCAGACTGCAGCAGAGTGTCTCCTTCACAGCCTGAGGCGGAGCTTCATCTCCTCCGGTTTCTGATCTCAGAGGAGCGTCGAGGTTTTACTGCAGCGACGCTGAGGCTTCAGGAGGGAACAGCAAGCAGGAGCGAAACCAAAGAAACAGACCTGCCGACAGACACACACACACACAGCGGGGAGAGCAGGGGGCGGGGTTAACAGACAGCACCTTCTCCAGCTGGGGTCGGGTGGTGGCGACAGGTAGGCGGGGCTGTACGGGGAGCTGTCCATCTGAGGAAGCAGCAGGTTAAGGAAAGCACAGAGCTTCATCAGTTTCAGTATCAGGAGGAGCTAAACGAGCTTCAGATGGCGCCGACACCACGCTGACCTGTAGAAACTCACCTGTGTCGCCTCTCGGGGGCTAAATCAGCTCATCAGGTTTGAATGACCCCGCCCTGTTAGGACACGTTAACGCCGACAGCCCGATGTCGTTTTTTTCTTTAAACTTATTGTTAACTTATTTCTGATTCATCATCGGGGTTTCTGCAGGACGCGAGCGGAAGAGGATGAACTCTGAACTCTCACCCTCACAGGGAACGCTCGGTGCAGTCTGAAGAACTCAGAGCTTCACCACAACTTCTTACTCAAACCAAGGTCAAAGGTCGCACTTCTGTCAGATGGGAGGAGCTTCAAGTGTGGAGACGAGCGTGCCTGCACGACTTGTTTCTCTGAGCAGCTTTTTCACTGCTGCTGTGACACAAACTCAACGTGACCACTCGGAGTTTCTTAGATAAAAGTTCCTCGCAGTGGCTCTCAGCTCAGCTCTCAGCCCCGCCCCCTTGCCCCATCGACGCAGAGGACGACTGAGAAAGAGCGCGACAAAAACGACCCGTCCAATAAAGCATCGACATCTGTGAGCTCGCCGCCCGACGCCTTTCCTGCACTTCCTGTCTCCTTCTGTTATCCTAAAAGCTGAAACACTGGCTTCATGACGCATCACTGCGACCACAGAGGAGAAGGAGTGCACCACCGCTGGATTTTACCGCCACGCCAAAATCTCTAAACGCTCACTGTCAGCTGACACGCCATCCTCCGTCACCACGAACACACACACACTGATTTATTCCACACTCCATCCTGGAGCTGCTGCTGCAGATTTTTGGTCATCCGCTGCTGAAAATAGTTCCCAGCAATCAAAGTGCAGCTGAGAGGTTTCACAGTCTTTACAGGAAGTAAACAGACAGACAGGAAGTCAGGAGCACAGGAACAATCTGGAATAAGACAGGGAGCCTCGCGTAAACTGAAGGATACTTTGCGATATGGTCGGACCGGCGAGACGAAGCGGCGGTCCCGCTGCACTCTCTCCACCAGCCCGTGATGCCGCGTCGCCCGACTGGACTCCAGAGTGGACGGGAAGGAGCCCTGAGGAGGGAGGGGGGACGGGACAGAGAGGGGAGGACAGAGTCAGCATCATTTCCACACCTGTAAATACTGAGGAAACAGGAAGCCTCACACACTTCAAAATAAAAGCCCATAATAATGTGACCTGGTCAGGATTACTCTGCTCAGTATTTGTAATCTCAGATATTTACTCAGAGAATTCGTTCACTGACACATGTTGTGGTTATTGAAACAGCATTTTTGTCTGATCTTCGAGTATAATTCAAATAAATGAACAAAGATGAGGCGGTGAGGTCAGCCTGTAGGGACCAACGGCTGTTTGTAAAGTGAAGCTCGTGTCCCGGGGCAACCGCGGTCCCAGAGTTCCCCGCACGACCCCAGGGGAGAACTGGAGAGCCCCGAGCAGACGAGACCTTCCTAGATCAGAGGATCAGCAGCTGCAGGAGGGCGGGCGTTAACAAGCCACACAACAGAGACCTCGTTGGATCAGGGGGTGGAGCTTCTGCAGGCTACCTGTGTGTGTTTGGGTCGCTCTGATGCAGACAGATCCTTTAATGTGGGATCAGCCATCTGCATCAGACCCACAGGAGGAAACTCAAACACCTGAGAGACGCTCTGTCCACGCTCGGCTCCACTGCAGCAGAGGAGGAGGAGCCACGAACAGCGCCATTACAGACCGAGTGTGATGGAAACACTGATGAGTCAGAGATGATGAGCGGGCTCGGCTTTCTAACTCCTGCTGCCCACATCTGATTGGAGCTCACAGCAGAGACCCGGTGCCTGATTGACTCCAGAATAAAGGAGAGAAAACACTGAGCCAATCGTCTTCCTCGTCCCAAAAGAATCAGTAAACACTGACGCTGAAGGCAGAGCGACGTTTCCTCACATTTCTTTTTGCAGGAAGGAAAAAAAAAGCATAAAAAATATACACGAGGAGTGTAAAGAGATACGATCAGGACCGAAGATTCAAACCAAAAGAGAAACTAAGCGGATGAGAGGCGACGACAGAGACCGTCTGTGGCTTTGATCACATCTGCCGCACGCAAACCACCGAAAGCATCAGACCGCCTTAAATGTTCTGCAGGAGCCCCACAGGGCTCCATCCTCAGCCCACCTTTATTTCCACCTTATTACTCCAATACTCAAACGTAGGCAGTAACGTTTACACAAAACAGGCGTCTTTATCACGTCAGCAGAGATCGACCGACACTGATGCTCGCTGACCTGCACCTACGACATAAGAAGAAAAGAAACAGGAAGTGACATCAGGGTGAAAGTGCAGTAGCGGTCGATTACCTGGAAGTCCTGAGGGGTCCTGCCGATCTGGTTCACGTTTGGTAATGAGCCGCCATAGTACGGCCCCTGATTCCTGGCAAGGCGGAGCTTCTGGGCCTGGAGCTGTGAAAGAAAAACACCGTCAATCAGATCAAATACATGAGACGACCACAACCTCGGCGAGCCGCAACTCGCCGACCGTGCTTCCCCATACAGACTGGTTACCTGAGCAGGTAACCAGGTGATCACTTCACCTGGTTACCTGCTCGTCAAAGGTTGCGTTTAATGCTTTGGTGCTGTGATGACGCGAGGGCAGCAGGCGGAGGGGTGGATGTGGGAAGAAAAGCAGCGCTGATGGTGTTACAGATAAGAGTGAAAAAAGCCCTGCTTTCTTCTCATCGTCTACACCACGTTCACCTGACTCCGCCTTCACCTCCACCTCTGCACAATTCGCTCAGCCTGCACAGAAAAACGCTGCTTCCTCGCACCGGTCTCCGCCACAGATTTGGGATTATTGATGACATCGATGTTTACGTCATAAAAGCATCCAAATACAAAGATGGTGGCCCCACTGAGGGCGCCGTGGTTACCTTACACCCAAGTCTCTGAAGCAGAATTATGAAGAGAACAATCTTTGTAGACCTGCAAATACCAGTGCATAAATGAGCAGCAAGGGGGCGGAGCCAGAGCATGCTCAATCCTCTGCCAGACGGAACACGTTCAACCTTCTGACCACGCCCCTTCAGGCTCCAGGTCCAGCTCTGATTGGATGATGACCAAAGAGGAGCGCAGCGGCAACTTCCTGTTTAATCTTCGCTTTAAACAAACCCGAGGGACGGATCTGTCCGTCAGAGGAACAGATTTAAGTCACTCGCCATCTGCGCGGCTCAAATGCATCAAACCAACGACGAAGCCGCGCCGCGTTAACGTCTGAGCTCTCAGGTTCGCCCCGGCTCCAGGAACCGGGGACCAAGCTGGACGTCAGGTTAAAGCAGCGGAGCGCAGACGCCGTTTCTTCCTTATCTGAAGTGAAGTGACGGCACCAGTTTAACTGAAGAGCAGCTTAAGATGTGAGGAGACGGCGCAGAGTTCTGCTCTGACGGTTTCAGGTTGTGTCGGGTTTACGTCACGTCCACGTATTCCTGAAGCGTTCCTGGAAACGGTGAGGAGGAGGAGCCAGACACAGCACCTCCTCCTCTTTAACATCAGCTCCTCCTCCATGACACGTAACATAACCACGCTCAACTTCGTCCACAAACGCCGTTTAATTCAGGCCGAGCGGCCATTACATCCACGCATCAGGCTGCAGTTTATGGTCACGCTCGCCAACACGGGGGTCAGAACAAAGAAAGAGGAACACGCGTCTGCATCCCAGAATACTACGGACAATGTGCAGATGTACTGATCAACAACACAACAACACATCTGTACAGCGATATAAACATCTGTAGACACCGCCACCTTTTATTCGACCTCATCTGTATATAAGCTGCTCTGCACAGTAAAGTCAAATGAAGTCAGAACAGCAGCTCAAACGCTCCATTATCCACATGAAACTTGTGCTAAAAAGCTTATGCCTAATATGATGGCCTCAGGTTTTATTTTGAAAGTTTCTAGCCCGGCCCTTTCCTGTCTGCTGAGTGTGGCGGGTCGCGGTTGGGCTCTGGAGGGTCCCACCGACCAGAACCAGGACCGCGAGCGGCACAACGTCGAGGAGGAGGAGGCCTCTGCAGAGGAAGCTGATGATGTCATTCCAAAGACCTGCACAGAAACCACCAGCAGCTCGGAGCGCTCGCACGGCGCCATCAGCGCCTGCTGTGACGCCACGAGGCTGTCATCTGTTCCCCACTTCTAAACTTACTCATCACAACAAACAATTTCCTTTTTTGTCCATGAAGTTTGGGGAATTCAGAGACATCAGCCACGAACCACACATCTGTTCCCGCCTTAGGACTCTGCCCGCCGCTGCCATCATCTCCATCGTGAGAAGAGGCAGGCCTCTGAAAATAAACTCAGACTTCCTGTGCCGAGCACAGAGCTTAGCTGGAAGAACACAAACTGGACTGAAAAGCTTTCCCTCCATAATGAGATGACCTCCCTCACAAAGACACCGCCCAGCTCTAGCTCCACCCACAGTGTCTCCTCAGGCTGTGAAGGACCTCCTCACTGCCCGAGACGTCGTCTCTGCCGAGGCTGATGAGGATCACAACCCGTGTCCATCGCTTCAGGCTGCAGGCGCCGTACACGCTGCGGTATACATCAGCGCAGAGACGGCGTGACCAGCGTGAGCTCATCTGTCTGCCTCTCAGTCAGGACAAAACGTCAGGAGGCCACGCCCACAAAACTACCTTTAGCAACACCCAAACAAAAGCTGTGACAGCCTGTTCGTGCGACTATTTTCTCGTCATGCTGTCACAGGATGAGAGTTTCATGTTCAGAAATGCAACTTTTTAATGAACTAAAGCCGATTTACTGTAATTCTGAACCCAAAATTTGAAAACCGCTAATGTTATAATTAAAGATGGCTCCCCGTCGCTAATGAGGCAGTGTAATCACAGCAAACCGTTAGCTCAGAAATATTCCATCCATGTGTTTGTGGACGCCTGAGCTAACTCCAACATGGACCCGTTTTATTTTGTAAGAATCCTCCTCTATGCCGACGACGCCATCCTGTGTCCACGTGACGCTCCACCTGCAGTGCGAGGACGTCCCACTCAGACTGCTGATAAGGTTTATGATCTGAAAAGCCCACGGGGGGGGGGGTTATCCTTACTTCTTCATCTGCACTGCCACAGATCTACATTTATTTGAAGAGTACATCCTGCTCTAATTTTAACGCTTGAAAGCCGACATCCTTCCTGTGAGAGCGTGACGGTGATTTACTGCACATGCGATCACCTCCTCGCAGCCCTGAGTCAGTGACCCGTACACGTTTCCTTACAAACTGACTCATCGCTGAATTCTTTGGGAGTCGTTTGGTTACAGCTTCAAATGGCTGATTTTCAACAAGCCCTGAGTTTGGCCATTTTTCCTACTTCAGATATGGAAGACTTTGCAGAAACAGAGTCATATGGACAGCGACCAAAAAGCAGAGGGGCCGTTCCTCTTCAGAGGCTGCTGGGAACGTCTATGTAGCCTGCTGTCCTTTGGAGGCGTCGCCCTCTGAAGCCCTGAAAGCAGCGAACTCGCCAAACCGGAGACGTCTTCTGGAACATCTCCGTGCTGTGGCTTCAGTTCATCAAACACCTGAAACACGCTCAGAGCTACAAACTCAGGTCTAAGGGGGGAAACCTGAATGTCCATCACCTGCTCTCAGATCAGATAAGCTCAGCCTCGTTTCCTCTCGCAAGAACTTCAAACTGCCGACGAGCTTCAATCTAAAGAAGAAAAACCACGCTACGTGTTGTGGCCTGCAGACACAGGAAGGTATTGGCCCTGCACGAAAGGTGTTCTTACCTGGCCTCGCTCAGAAAGAAAAGCAGTGAAGTGAAACAGGAGGCACAGCATGTCAGACGGCAGGTTTACCCACCTCTAAACAACCAACACCAGCACCGCTGACCCGCAGAGAGCGAGCACCAAACACTATTCATGTTCAGGGTTGGATTATTCTGCATTCATTCATGTCACAGGCAGAAAAACCATTCACAGCACCCGTCTCACTGAAACCCGTCCATCCTTACAGAGGAGCTCGAGAGGAGCAACTAGCTGCTGCCCACTGATTTACACAGGTGCTCACACCTGCTGCTGAGTCAAAGCAGAAGTGTTGCAGCACTCAGGTGTGCTAACAGGATGCCACAATCTTCCCAGGAGTGAACATCCCAACACATTCATCCTGAAAAACCCACAGATCTCAGACTCCACAGGCCTCATTTAGAAGGTTAAAGGTCACGACAGCCAGCTGACGTTTGTAAAGCCGCAGCAGACTTCAGCAACAGACGAGAGTAAAGTGCACAGCAGCAAACTGCTCGCTGTGAGCGCCGTGGAGGAGGGATGACGATCCGAGTGGACCGTGAACTCCCCGTACATCAGAGTATTCCAGAGTCAGAGTGAGGCCGTGTGTCCCGCAGCTGAAGCTCGGACCAATCGGCGGGACGCTGAAGCGAGCGCAGACGGAGCTGCTGCAGCGGTCCAGAGTGCAGAGCTCAGAGCGCTGTGCGTAAACGAATGGAGCAAACTTCAGCAACGCTGTGAAGAAGAGTGGAGACAAACTCCTCCTCAGAGATCTGACAGGCTGATAAAGTCACACAGGAACTGTCACTGCTGAGGGAGGATCAACGAGCTGCTGAATCATGGGGTGGACTCCGTTTGTCTCACACTGCAGAGGGTGCAGTGAGATCCTCCTCCTTCACATGACTGTATGAGTTCAGACAGAGCTCGATCATGTCCTCGGGTTAAACTCCTGGATCTGCTACAGACCTGCAGCTTTCTACCCGACGTGTGACTGAGCAGCTCTGACACCAGTCACCTGTCAGTGAGGTCAAGCCAATAATGATGCGGATCATGAAACCAGAGGGTCAGACCATCAAACCTCAGGATATTTTCTGTTTTATCACGCTTTCACAAACCCTGGAGGACAAAATCTTTACACAAGACCTAAACAATCAGTCCGGATCCACATGCCTGACTAAATCCATCTGAGCTACACAGAACCAGCACAGAACCAGGGCCTTTCTCAGGACCAACTCGACCCCACAAGGAGACTAAACAGCCCCTCATAATGATAAGAAGCTGCAGCTGCTGGTCCTGGACCTGCTCGGTGCAGCATCTGCTGCAGGTTCTGGTCCGAGTGACCCTCCAGAACCAAACCAGGACCATCAGCAGGAGCTGCAATTCAACAGAGAGGGGAAGAAGACTGTCTGACCTGCAGCAGCGTCCAGAGCAACTCACAGCTTCCAGACAGGAAGAACAGAGCAGCTGAACGTTCAGAATAAGAGTATAAAGATGCCTCCACAGCCCACCACGTTCATAAACAGTGAGCTTTTCTCATTCACTCGTGTATGAAATAATTACGTTTATGAAAGACGTGACTGGATGTCAGCCTGAAGCATTCGTGTTTCTGTTCAGCCGTCGGGCCCACGGCTCTTTGGTTTGAGTCCGGGAGAAGCTGTGGCCTACCGTGGTCCATACGCAAGTCCCACCACTCAGCAGCCACCTTCAGGCATCTCCTGAACTACCTTTAATTTTGTGGTCTATGTGCAGAATCACTGTCACATCTGACGTGAAACTAAAATGAATAAAGGTTTATTTTGAAGCATTTATTTCAAAATAAAGGTTTGCTGACTTTGACCCAAAATAAGTCTTGAAGGATGAACTTTTACCACCGTGTGATTCTTTCAGTGCCACGGCTCTCTGTGTGTTCTAATAAAATTACACAAACGCACCTAAAAACTCCAAACCCCACGGCAGCATCACGGGCTGGACTCACAGAACAAAAACAGCTTCAGAAACACACACCTTTAAACTTGTAAAAATTTGTCAGAAATGACCTCAAACCATCAAAAATAAACTGACAGCCAGACTCCCACATTTTCCCACGACAGTAAACACACCAGCAGAGACCACCTGCCTCCACAATCCGACCCTCTCACCTGCTTCACACCTGAGGGCGTGTTTCAGATCACAGTGACACCCACACATCACCAATGACAAGGTGACGTTAACACATCCGAACCAATCGCCCACCCTGACATTAAAACGGCGCCGCCAGGCCAGAGTCCGTGTAAAGTATGCACGATTTAAGGTAATCTTTCCCGGGCAGGGTGGACAAAGATAAAATCACCACGTCAGATCTGTAAAACGCACATATTTGTTCCACAAGTCAAAGAAACAAATCAAAAATAAAAGCAGACTATTTTCCTTAGGAGACACAAAACACGAGTAATGGGAGCTTCATCTACATGAAAGCAAAGCCTGTCAATGGCTGACATTAACGCCGAAGTTTTCAAAGGGACAAAATAAACACCCCGAATTAATTAAGTCGAAGGTGTTGGATATGTGTGTGTGACGTGAGGTGACGCCGCGTTAAAATATCCGGTTTTTGGCCGGAGTTCTGCGGGGCACTGCGAGGCTGACAGCGACGTTCACGTAACATAGTAAACAAGACAAGTTAGCCGCGTTAGCTTCGAGCGCTAACGATGTATCGGAAATGAAGAGCAGCGCGTCCCGGAGAGACAAACACCCAACAAAACCCACACACTGCGTCCCCACGAGGTGATTGCCGCTAAAACTGCGCCAAATCTCAGCAAAGCGCCGCGCAGAGACACCGCACAGCGCTTATCCGGAGCCCGACGAGCCCGGACAAGGCCTCGCTTCCTCCGGCAGCTCTCCTCCTGCCGCCGCCTCTCACTCACCCTGGTCGAAGTGATGTCCATCATGACCTCCTGGAAGGCGGCCGTCTCCTCGGCCTGCCGCTGGGTGTGCAGTGCTATCTTCTCGCTGAACTTTCGCGGGTTGGACGCCCCGGAGCCGGCGCCCGAGGCGGGCCCGGGTCCACAGCCGCCTGAGCCCGTCGCAGACATCTTCACCGAGCGGACGGGACGAGCTGACGTAGTGGAACGATTTCAGAGAGGGGCGGGGTGAAGAGGAATCACTCCCCCGCTTTTTCTGAGCACCAAAACCAGCAGCGAGTCTCGCAGCGGGACCAACCGAAACCCGGCCGAAAACACCCCGCCGGGGAACAGTGTTCACAGCCGCCGGAAGACCGGGACCGGGTTTACAGCCAGGAGCTGACGAGGCAGCAGCTCTGTTGTTGGTTTTTCTTTTAATTGTTTTTTCAATCCTGAACAAACAAGAAAGCATGTTCAGTCTTTTTGTGTTCGTCTTGCTAAGAATTAAAGATATTTACAAAATCAAAATTAATGTAATAGATTTAAATAATCGAACCTATTTCTGTCGTCTTAAACCAGGGCTGCCCAATCCCAGTCCTCGAGAGCTACCGTCCTGCAGCTTTTAGATGCATCCTTGTTCCCACACACCCGAATCAAATGAATGGCTTGTTATCAGGCCTTTGCCAAACATGATGGCATGCTGAAGAGGTAATCACACCATTTGATTCAGCTGTGTTGGAGTAGGGATGCATCTAAAAGCTGCAGGATAGTAGTAGCTCTCGAGGACTGGGATTGGGCAGCCCTGTCTTAAACAATTCAAAGTTGTATTAAAAAAGTGTGTGTGGGGGACGGGGTGAGGTCACGTGGACAGAGTTCAGCGTTTCTTCGTGGGGAGTGTAACCTCTGGCTCACAGACCAGCTAAGATGGCTCGGCTGAGGTGTGTTGGCGCCCCCTGCCGGCAGAGTTCAGCCACTGCAGGCTGCTCCTCCATTTCCCTCCAGCTGCAGAGATTAGAGATCAAAGGTCAAGGTGGGGATCTTGACCTATTCTTCCTCACTGTGTGAGTATAAAGTTAATCCGAGTCTGTGGAAGACAGAGTGCAGAAGAAGAAACCTTCAGACCACCTGTAGTTCAGTCGCGTCTCCTCGTTTTTGAGTCTTCACTGTGATTTAGGGTCAAAGTTCTTGACCCTGACATCTCTTCATTTGGTCCATTACTTTTATTTTCTCTTTTTATCGTCAGCAGCGGGTTTCTTGTTTTATTTCTGATGTAACGATGAGGTCAGCCGATCACTTTGGCCTTTTCATTGTTTGCCAATAAAGTTTTGTTGTAAACACGCTCTGTGATTGCTGCTCTCACCTGTGCTCGTCCAGCACCTTCAGGCGCATCCTGAGCTGTATCCCGAGTCAGGGTCTGCAGCCTTAAAGGCCGCATTTTAAGGCCGATTACGTCACAGGGGCGCGACGAAGGCTGTCCCAATTCAAAGGCTGCTCAAAATGCAGCCCTCAAATGCGTCCTTCATTTTGAAGACATTTGGACATTTTCTCACCCAATAAAGGAATATTTCATATATCAGTCTACTCTTCATTCTATCAGACACAGTTATCACAGCTCGTACATTTGCTTTTTACACATGTATGTAAGCATTGAGACAAATGTAATAATGCCAACATACTGAAGGAACAATATTTGTCTCTTATATGTAATACATCTGTATATACACTGTCAAAGATACTTGAGTGTTTTTGAGTGAAGATTTAAGGTGATAGGACATATAAATAGCTGCAACTTGAATCTTTACGGAAGCTCAGTGTTTGACAGAGTTCACTCACATGTGCTGTCCCAGCGTACCTGCACATGTGATGTGACAATAGAAGTGATTTGATTTGAGAGTTCAAACTCACTGCTGTAATAACTAATAATGATTAGTATAATAACTATAATATTGGCCATCTCATATTTACACTGACTTTAGTCTCATGAACAACATGAGCTAATTGTTATTTACTAGCTAATCTTAAAATGACTGTTCAGCACAGAAATGAAGCCCAACTATCATGTTTACAGTCCCGTGGTCTCAGCCTCAGATACTTAAATCACACAAAGCTCGTGTAGAAACAAACAAACGAACAAAACATGTTCCTTCATTTCTGCCAAACACGCGTTTCCAGCTATTATGGTTGCTAGGCAACCCGGGCAGCGAGACGGAGGCTAGACCGCCCATTTCACAAGCCTCGCACTTCCGGCCTCAGCGGTCTTTGAGTACGCGGCCCTTGAGGACCGTTGAGGCTGCAGACCCTGAACTGGGACACAGCCCTGAAATTCAGCTCCTGTCACGTTTGCGGTGATTGTTCAGCTGCGATCGCTCTGCTGCTGTCCTCTCAGGTGCACTGATGAGGTCACACAGGTGTCGCTGTGTTGCTGAACTGTTGTGTTTGTGGTTCATCAGTGAAACTGTGACATGAACGAGGTGATCTCTCACACACCGTGTCGGGGCTGCGGTGGGAGAGCTGAAAGCTGCTCGCAGACCGACCGCAGGCGGCTCGGACTGAAGTGAAAGAGGAACGCTCAGCGGAGCTCCGACTGCTTCTTCACCTGAACAAGGACACGCCTCACATCCTGACATCAGCGAGGTCATCGCTGAAGAGCAGCTGCCAAGGAAATGGCCTGTAACCATGGCAACCACAGGTTACTAGGGGAAAATGGGGCGTCTGTCAGCGACCCAGAAACCTGCAGCGACAGCAGAGTTGACATTTCCCCCAGGGGTCACCGTTCGGTCTGCAGGCCCGTGCCATGTGGTCGTCGTCATGGTGATTTCTTTTTCGCCGCGATCCGAGGCCACATGGTACAAACTTGTTTCCAGGGCAGCTCTGATTTAGCTTTACAAACAGAAAACGCTTGTTTCCTGTTCCACGGGAACACAGACTGTATGTAAAAGATGGACTAGCACAGTCACTGGCGCCATGTTGGTTTTCCGCCTGCAGTTTGCATAAAAACACTTTTGTTTCTCAGATAAAATGAGAATAAAACAGTTTTCCGTCGGCTCGAGCGCCCGACGTGTTTGGATACGATGGACGGTCGGCGGCTAAAGCTGAGGACAAAAATCCGTCACGACGCGTCATCGCTGCTCAGACTGTTGTCACGCGTACCGAGGTGGTCATGTGACTGTCGAGCTGTCAGACTTCGTCCTGGATCAGTGCTGCCGATCCACAGATCAGTAATCAGTTTATCTTTGCCGAGTAATCAGATTACAGGAGCTGAGAAAGCGTCACGCAGCAGAGGTTTGACCTCACGACTCTGAAAATACTTGAGTCTTAATGTAATCGAGTACTTTTACTTCAGTACAGATGCGCTTTATGTTTCTGCGTTTCTGCTTCCTGTCGTTTCGGCTCAGTGCTGCGTCCGTCTGACCCGTGGCCGTGCGGCTGCAGGACGCCGTCTCATGAAATAAACATTCAAACACGCGTGTTTATTTTCTGCATGATTTTATACAAACTTGATTACAGTAAATTTACATGTTTAAAAATACTTTTATTACAAAAAACAAGTGTTTGAATCCTGCTGTCAGGTAAAATAGAGCTCTGCACGAAAACATGCTCTCCTCCGGCTCCGACGCCTCCAAACATTCCAGTCAGATTTCCGAAGGTTTTCCTCGTTTAGCAACGCGTTCGTTCTAAAAGCTGAAATCTCGCACAGCTCTGGGACGCAGCTCTGGGACGCAGCTCTGGGACGCAGCTCTGGGACGCAGCTCTGGGACGCAGCTCTGGGACGCAGCTCTGGGACGCAGCTCTGGGACGCTCCTCTGAGGCGAGCACATCGGAGGTTTGTGGTTGGTCGGCCTTCCTCGGGACTTTGTTCACGAGGAGGTCGGAGTATCGATCATGTGATCAGGGTCTTTGCTCCGTCGGTCGTTTCTTCGATGTAACTAAACAGCCAAAGCGTCTCCACCTGGAACCTCCAATAAAAGCTGCCAAACAGGAAGTTCGAACAGCTCGACGACCTGCCGTTACGCCTCTATTAGCCATCAAATATGGCTGCTCTCCCGCTGCACCCTGAACTCTGAGATAGCGCTGCAGCAGGCCAGCCTGCTTCCCATGATCCCTGGGTGTTCGATCGCCTGCTGCGGCTGCTTAGCTTCATCCCGCCTCCCTGAGCCTGCCAGAGGTTTCCTCCTGTTAAAAGGGAGTTCTCGCTCCCCGCTGTCACCAGGTGCGGCTCACGGGCTGGTTTGATTGGTGGGTTTCTGTCAAACCCTGCAGGCGGTCAGAGGAGACCTCGAAGGAGGGCACGAAACTTTAACGGATCAGGTTTGCGGGGTTGTTCTGCTCCTCCCCCTGGCGCTCTCGCGCCGTCTCTCTTTGGCTTAAGTCTTCGTCTCTCGTTAACGTCACAAAAATTAAACACGTGTTCCTAATGAAGCTCTGAACCATGCGACGTCTCTGAAGTCGCACACGGAGCTCGCCCTCTCGCCGTCTGCCTCTACAGTTTGATGAACAGCACGGCGGTCACCATGGCAAAGCCCACCAGCAGCATGGCCACTTTGGCGATGCGGTTCCTGCCGGCGGCGAGCTCGTGCGGTAGGATCTCCATGAAGGTGATGTAGATGAAGGTTCCCGCCGCCAGCCCCTCCAGCGTGCAGCGGGCCAGCTGGTGCCCCGGCGACGTCTTGGTCTCGGTGAGGCCGACGCCCAGGCCGACGCCCAGCGGCGACATGACGGCGAACAGCAGCAGGCAGCCGACCACCACGGAGCGACGCAGCCGGGCCTGACACAGCTTCACGGTCAGGCTGAAGGAGATGATGCTCTTGTGGATCATCAGGGCGAGGCAGATCTCCAGCACCTCCTGCCCCTCCTCCAGCAGCCCCACCGCCAGCCCCTCGAACACCGAGTGCAGCGACAGCGAGAAGACCAGGATGAAGGCGCGCAGGGCGGACTGAGAACCAAAGTCCACGTGGAAGTGACCGTCCGAGTCCGCTGAGCCCCGGCGGCGGTGATCGTTGGATTGAATGCTGGAGTCCACCAGCAGAGAGCGCCGTTCCTCCGGGGACGGCGACGTCTGGTCCTTGAAGGCCAGGATGATCTGCTCCAGGACCAGGACCAGGAAGAAGCCCATAGCCACGATGAACTCGGGCAGGGGGAACTGCAGCTGAGGGAGGAAGAGGAGGAGGAGAAGAAGAGTCAGCTTGAGATACCTACATCTGGATTTATCTCCAGGGTCCAAAACTAAGACCTAAATGTTCACAGATCTGAATGTCCGAATAAATCATCGAAAAAACGTCAATATTTAATAAAACGTTAAGAGTAGAAACTCCAGAACGTTCTCATCGCCATGGACACGATCAATAACATGTGACATACATGATCGGAGTTGCAGCTTCAACCGGATTACATTTAAATCTCCAAATATGATTTTTATATGCCAGATTTATTTATGACATTAAACCATAAGAATTCATTAAAATGTCCAAATTTGTAGAGGTTTTTTAAATCCTCCAAGTTTAAATAAATACATAAAAATAAAACTACAAATATGTCCCAAAAATGTGAATATTCTAAAAACAAAAAACCAACATCGTCAATAAAATGTCAAAAAAACTCAAATTTGTTACGTTTGTCCTCAAAATTAAAAGCATCTGTCGGACTTTATTAGCTGAAGGTCCAAACATTCAGAAAACAGCAGAGGAGTGACGGACGGCTCAGCGTCTGTGTCTCTTCCTCTCTGAGTTTGAACGTTTTCACTTCCCTCTCGCTCAGTGGCGAACTCTGAGGACCGGAAATAAACCAGCTGCTGCTTCAAAATAAAAGCATTCCAACGCTGACAAACTGAATGTCCAGCAACGAGCTCTACGGAGGCCCGATATGACCAAATCTATAAATAAACTTCATTCAACAATTGTGAGAAATAATATTAAATATTTATTATTTATTTAAAAGTCCTTATTTTTGTGCTTATTGCAGATTTCCTTTTTTTCCAGAGGGTTTTCCTGCAGACGTGCTAATGGATGTTTGTGGTGCGACACGCGTGCAGTAAACTGTTTGTGGTGGGGAAACAAAGACACTCGCCAACATCTGCGTGGCCGCTGACTGCAGGCTCGGTGCAGCCGGCCTGAACAGCTGGAGTGTCGGAGGTTGTGCTTTACAAACACCAACATTGTCTGTTCGAGTGCAGCGAGTCAAACAGTCACTTCCTGCCACAGACAGGCCTCGCTCTAACATCAGCTCATTGTTGCAGCACTGAAGCGTTTCCTCAGAGTTATCGATCCTGTCACGAGTTAGCTAACAACCAACCACATGACATCACAGTCGTGCGGACACAAGATGGCGCTAAACAGGATTTTGAAACTTTGACTTTAAGCTGTTTTTTATTAAATCCAGAGGTAGATCACTGTCTGAGAGCAGGATCGGTGGGCTCAGCCAGCTCAGACGTTAAAGCGTCTCTGAGCGTGACGGTGAGGCTTTACCTGCGGTTTCTCTTCAGGCCTCTTTAACGTGTGCTCAGGTGAGCGTGTGCGCTCTCCTACCTTAATCCCGGCGCTGCTGAAGGCCTCGTTGATGCTCTGCAGGTAGTCGGGCAGCAGGTCCAGGAGGCAGGTGGCGAAGAACACGCCTCCAGCAAAACAGCTGATCAAGCTCAGCAGCAGGCGCCGTAAATCTGCAACACGGACAGCACAGGTCAATCACACGGATCAATCGCACGGGTCAATCGCACGGATCAATCGCACGGATCAATCGCACGGATCAATAGCACGGATCAATAGCACGGATCAATCGCACGGATTCAATCGCACGGGTCAATCGCACGGGTCAATCGCTCGGATCAATCGCGCGGATCCAATCACAAGGGGTCAACGCACGGATTCAATCACACGGGGTCAACGCCACGGCGTCAATCGCCACGGATCATCGCAGGATCAATCACGGATCAATCGCACGGGTCAATCGCGACGGATCAATCACACGGTCAATCGCACGGGTCAATCACACGGGTCAATCGCACGGGTCAATCGCACGGATCAATCGCACGGGTCAATCGCACGGATCAATCGCACGGATCAATCGCACTGCTGCAGAGCCAGAGGTTGAAACTGAAAGCAAACAGAAAGTCAGACTCCTGAAAGGCGCCGTGTAACAGCCCTGCAGAGCAGCGCTCATGGATTCATGTTCTCCTGCTGCAGCTGATCGAGTGACTGCACAGAGATCACACGATGTCACATCTAATCAGCTGGTTAGGAGAAAACAGGAAGTCGAGCTGTGAGATGAAAACACTGCAGACTAATCCTGGAGCTCTGAGCGTGGCTTCGGGCTCAGCGGGATCTAAACCTAAACCTGTTATCCTGCGTCTCCCCACTTCCTCTCATGTATTTTACTACCAGAGCATGTGAAGCCCCACCCACCTGCCTTTAGGAGGCATAGCCAATTGGAAAACCGTTGGCTGAAAGTGGGAGGAGCGTGTTTCTGACCTGCTGAACACCATGTGCTCAAAAGAAGAATTGTCCATGCAAAGCCAGTATGAGCACGGCTGATTTCACCCAGTCCAAATATTTTCTTTCTGACGTTCTGAACTCCTCACACAGAAGCCGATGTTGGAAACGTTTATCTGCTCAGTTTACCTGGCTGCACGCTGAAGCGCCCCGCCCCTCGGACGATGCAGAGCGGGGCAAATCCGAACAGCAGCGTGACTGACAGCAGGACCGCCAGCGCTCCTAGTTTGATCTCCAGGGCAGGGACGTCAGCCGGGTTCACCTTCAGCGCCGCCGTTTCCTTTGCCGAAGACACGAGGACAGAGGAGGATGCTCCGCCTGCGACAGCCATGTCAGCTCTCTGGACCAGAACCGTGGACTCACTCTGAGGACGAGAGTCTGTCAGACAGAGGAAGAACAACACAGTGAGACACATGTTTCATTTGAATGACGGTTTCCTGCAGGTACGGGCGAACTGCGGCGCTGCGCCTGGATCACACCTGTGAGTCTGCAAAGACTAACGCATTACATACTCCTAGCAGCTGACGATGAAACCTGACGTATACGATGTTCACAGGCTGCTCTGAGCCAGACACACACACACAATCAGTCAGCATGAGGACGGTGCTCTTAAAGTTTAACCCTCGCCTGCAGGTCGCTCGGTGAGGTCACAGTTTCGCCGCCCTCCTGTGGGCTAGGGCATAGGCGGGGTGATGAACTTCCTGTGTGATGTTTAGCTCATGCAGCAAACAGAGATGTTTGTGATGTGCAGAGCGCCATGAGTCATGTGACCCCAGGAATCGATAAGAGCAGCAAACAGAGACAGTGGCGCGCTGACAGGAAGTGCGGTGAAGAAGGCGGATTAACTGAAAGTGGCAGCAGGTGTGAGTGGCTCAGACGGAGGGGCGGGTCTGATCTGATTGGGGGGGATTTCCACGTTATTTCAGGACGTGTCTGAAATCGGAGTGGGCGGTCCCCCTGCAGTTCCTCTGCTGTGCCGCAGGGGCAGCAGCGAGTCAGGCAGAAACAAACATGTTTACAGGCTGAGGCACGGGGTCAGAGGTCAGATCACTTTGTATCCGACTGCTGGTGAGTCGAATAACCGAACATTAAGCAGCTGCGCAGATTTACCACAGCTGTAACATCTGCTAGGTCATAAAGATGTGCACCGACCCTTCCTCGCGCAACTAATCAGACGTTAAAGGGGTTTTAGTTAGTGCGCACGCGCAGTCTGTGAGTCATGGAGGCGTAACCGTGGTAACCATCGTGTGTTTCCCGCTGATGATCCCGAGGTAACGGAATATTTTTACTCCGGAGCAGATCACGGTCCCGCGCACAGACTCCGCTCAGGTGTCCAAACACCCTTACCTGTTCAGCCGCGGGCTCGCGCTCAGGTGAGGCTCTCGGTATCAGAGCTGATCGGCGGCGTGAGCTTCTCTCGGTGCTGCTCTCCGGGAAGTGGTGACTCAGTTCCCACCAGCTGATCCCGCCTCGTGAGGGAGCTGCTGTGAAGCGCTCCGCAATAAAACACCGCATTTCCTCTTTACAAAATAAAAGCCCGTCAGTGTTTGGTTTCCGGTTCGGTCCTGGGTCCAGCAGGAGGAGACCCCGGACCATCAAACGCTTCCTGTCCCTCATGTATGTGACGTCATAACGCTAAAGTTTTCATTTGTGTTGAAAAATCACAGATTTTCTTCATGTTTACCCTCGATGATCAGTCATCAATAACAGTCACTGTGTCGTGGTGTGTGCTCAGTCATCCGGGTAAGTCAATCAGAAAAGGGTAATTGAGTTCATCTCAGCCTTTTACGAGCCACGTCTTACGTTTTTAATCATTGATCTGTAATATTTATGGATCTGTGCGTGGGTTCGCAGCACAGGTGCTCTGTCACACCTGATCCTATTGATCCAAACGTTTGACCGCTGATTGGTGGGGGAGCAGAGCCTGCCTCTCCTCTGAGGTGAGCGTTCGTCTTCAGCTTTATTTTCCTGATGCGCTTTAATTTATTCAATTAATAAATTGTTGTTTAAAAAAAGTTGCTGTGTTTTTATTTTGCTGCAGTGAAAACTGTCAGAAGCTCATGTTCATCTTTATTTTTAATTCTCAGCCTACACAAAGACATTTACTGATTCTTTTCTCAAAAACTAAACGTGAGGCTTTTATTTTGAAGGCCGATATCCCCTGTCGTTTTCTGACTTCACTCAGCTGGAGCGGGAGGCGGATCCTTCCAGCTGTTGACTTTGTAGCTTAACAGGAATCCCAAGAGTCCATGTTAGTGTCACTTTCCATCACTCATTAATCACAGGAGGTCAGAGGTCAAACGCCACTGCCTGTTAGTGACTGTGTGCGTGACACTGTGGAAGCTTCACTGGTACATAAATCACACAATGCTGCAGTCAGCACTCTGGCAGCAGTAAAACGTCTGTTAAGCCGTTTGTGGTTAGAGCAGCTGTGAAAACTTCGGGCTCAAAGGTCACAGTAAGCACAAACAAAAGTCGTCCTGGCCTTTGGAAGCAACGCCTCATGATCCAAAATCATTGCTGAGACACAGATACCATGGAAACCACACCACAAAAATTCAAAATGACTAAAAATCTACTTAATTTACATGAAAAACCATAAAAAACAAAGCAGATGACCTCAAATTTAGGACCAATCACAGTGAAAAAATTAAATTATACACAAGGATAGACAGATACCATGAAAAAATCCAGACGTCCAACTATCAACTTCATTTAGATGCAGAAACACAGAAAGAGCCTGAAACACACTGAAATAGCCAAAGTACTAAACCACAGACTGTAAACAAAGATGGACAGAGCTCCTTAAACCTGCATTGCCTCTTCTGTCCATCAGGGGGCGACTCCTCTGTGATCTCTAATGAGTGGCAGGTGTGGCTGATTACAACATGATGCTTTTCTGGACTTTTCTACTCGGTCAGAACCCAAACAGGAACCTTCACAACACCGAGTAAACTCCACAGTGGACACCAGGGAAACATTCAAAAACACACACCACAATCCAAGAAGCACAAAGAACCCCACACTCAAAGTTCACAATCTTTAAAGCTTTCCGATAACGCTGCAGAAATCCAACACAGCGTCTGAAAGGTTTTTATAATGTGGGAAAGAACAGTGTGATTCTGGGAATCTGAAGGTTTGTCGTTTCCGTCCAGTCCGAGCCGTCTTTGGCTCCCTGCAGGAACGTCGAGACTCAATCGACAAACATTTAGCTTTTAATTCACCTTGTAAAGTGTGCATGTGTAAAAAGTGGCTGGAGGACAGAAACAGAAATATCTTCTCACTTCACTCGGACGATTCCAGAAACTGACCTTTGCCCCCAGAGGCGAGGTCAGCTGATGGGTTTCCCGCCTGATTCGGTGGATTTACAGGGCGAGGCACTCAGAAAGACCACAGAGCCAGATCAAGATTCAAATATCTGATTTTATTTATATTCAAGCAGCAACAACCTGGTGATTACATATCGACACAGTCAGAATTTTAAGAACGTTTCATGCGTGGGTCAGCAGGTGAACATAAAGGTGTGCGTCAGGTAAAGGTGCATCACATGAGATCATAAACAAACCTTATCTTCCATACAAAGACAAGCCTGTCAACACTGCTGCGTCTGTCACACGCAGACAGTAAAAATCACTTTATGTCCATCAGACGGTGTCTTAGATTTAAACACGAAGCTTTGTTTAGCAGAGAAAACTCTTCTCGTAGGTACGCGTCAGTGCAAGGAGCCGTTTGAGGCACCGCTGTTAACCGTTCAAGGATGAAGAAAGTCCTCACGAAGCCAATTCAATCCTCCAAGAACAGAGAAACCGTCCCGATTGTCACACGTGACTTATGAACGTTTGGAAAAATGGAAAATATCTGAAACGTGCTGAAACTCCACAACAACCTCTAGCAGCTGACCTAGAACCGAGGTTCTCTCAGCTGCTAGCGGTTACCTCTGAGTGACGATGATGATTTCCTATTGAATTGTTAAAACTCACACTAGTGCTTCTAAACAAACTTATAACATTTAATTAAACCTGCATGTGGAACCTCATGGGATCCTGGGAATCCAGGACAAAAGGTTTGGAAGTGTTTGAAGGAATCCTGGCAGAGGTCAAAATATCCGCCAGCATTCAAGCTGTCACGCCGAGGCCAGTCAGAGGTCTGTCTCCAGTATGACTTCCTCCCAGTAGTCCTTAAAAAATGACACGTTTGCATCGTTCTGACAGAACTGACGTAAGCCCGTCCACAGCCCAGGATCCACGTAGGTGTGGCAGACCAGGTAACCTTTAAGACTCGGCAGGAAAGCTTCCAGTTGTGCCAGAAACACGGCGCACACCGATGTCAGACTGCGGCCAAAGATGTTGATGTTGAGGCGCATGGCATTGTGGCGGTAGGGTACGGCATACGGTGGCGTGCCCAGACTGAGGGCAGCGGGCTCGAACTCACGGTCTACGATCCACGTTAGGCCTCTGCGCTGCAGCACCTCCAGGTTGGCCTCCACCGGCTTCAAGGGCTCCCAGTCGTTGATGACGGTTTTGCCGGGCAGCAGGTTGGAAACCACGTGGTCGGACAGGACCAGCGTCTCAGCCTGCCGCCAGCTCAGCGTGACCGGACCACAGGAGGAGTCGGCGTGGAGCGGATGTTTGGATCGAAGCTCAGTGATGAAGGAGCCCAGGTTGACCGCCTCACAGCACAAAGAAAAGATGGCCTGCAGGGGGCGACAGAGAGGACGGGGTGAGTCTGTGGTTTACTTACCCGTTCTGGTTCGACTCATCGCAGTTGCTCGGGAAACAAGTCCAAGTTTAGGCTTGGTCACAACACGCCACCGGACTATTCATGCTGTGATCCAGTCCATCATCCAATCACGTGGCATGTGTGCTCTTCACCCCCGTCACGAGTCTGAGGCCAAACTAAGAACCGCACATCTGTAGTTTCCATTCAGTGGACACGGAGGGATCGTTTACAGTCCAGGCTGGAAAAACCAGGCGGACTCTTCAACTGTAAGTGCTCAGAGCACGCTCAGTCTTAGGATGTGTCTGCAGCATCACGTAACCACGACAACAAAGGCCACCTTGCAATAACTAGAAGCCAGCGGTGATCTCTGACCAAACGTCAGTGTGATGACGCTGTGCCGGTCCTGCAGTCCTAACAGGAGAGTAATTATAAATGAATTCAAGTCGTTATTTATTTTTAAAAACCCTTTGATTCATTTCCTATGAATATCGACACATTAGCTTTACTTCTCAACCACGACGTTCATGAACTGAAAGTCTGCGTGCTTCAGGAGGACGCGGCATTTCTGCACAGCACGGTCAGAATAAAGGGAACGGCGCCGCTCGAACAGACGCATCAGCTTCTGCAAACAGCTGCGCGACGTCGCTGTGATGAAGAATTATCACCAACTTTGGTCACAATCACAAACCGGTGGACTGTGACACACCTCCTTTGCGATGAGCCTGTACTTGGCGAGCGTCTTCACTGAAGGATTGTCTCCTCGGCTCAGCCTCACAGCAGAGACTTCTGGGTAGTAGTGGCGGACGTAGTTGGTCACATGCATCTGGAGGGCGCTGGCGATGCCGCTGCCCCTCAGATCGGACACCACCCTGCGCCCCTGAAGTACTGCCGTCTGACCGCCATCCACCAGGAGCGCAGACTCCAGCGCCACCTGCAGGGAGATGGAGAATGCAGCTCAGTGTAGAAAAACAGAGCCGTGAAATGAAAACTGTGGTCTGCTTCCTCAGGGCTCGCCTTCACGCCTCACCACTCTGCCGTCGATCCGGGCGATGAAGACGACGCGTCCAGGCTCCTGCAGCCAGCGGTGAAAGAAGGCGGCCATGTAATCGAGCCCGTTGTAGTCCTCAGGCGTGCAGATGTTCAGGACCTGTGGGACAACACAGGCTCTGTTAGGAACGACGCTCTGAGGACACCTGGGCGTTCCTGACTCCGCCTCAAACAGACGTCAGAATACCTACAACTTCTAATTGGCGCAGAGCAAACGACGACACACGGGTCCGTGACGCTCAGCACTGATTTTAAGTTTGGCTGTTAAAGCCCTCCATCAATCACCTCCACGACATCTCCCAGGTTAACCACAGGTCAGAGGTCATCGCTGCTCCCAGCAACCTGCCTCGCCTGAAACTAAAGGGTCCGCGCCTCTGTCTGTCCCCACGGAGACCCCTTTAGACCTTTAAATCAGCTCTGAACGCGTCGTCTGTCTGAGGTGCTCAGAGTTTATCACTGTGATCTTATTTAACTGCTCAGATTTTCTTCAGGTATCGATTCTAACTTGTGACTCCTGCAATTCATGTGTGTCCTTTGTCCCTGTGAGAAATGACAAAGCGCCGAAGCAAACAGGAAATGAGGCAATGAGGTTTTTTAGTTAGTCACAGCAGTAAATTATGTGATGTTCAAAGTTTTTTAAAGCTGTTCAGCGGCGTGCTGCAGCGGGCGTGCTGCAGCGGCGTGCTGCAGCGTGCTGCAGCGGCGTGCACTCCTTCACCTCATATGTTTTATGGAGCAAACGCCATAAAGGCGAAGAGAACCGCTCGAGCAGCCGCGGTCAGTCGTCCTATCAGTGTGCATTCACTGAGTTCACATCTCACACTCTGACCGGTGATCTTTAGAGAGTCATGTGACTATTAATGGAAAAATGTTGGGACCTGCTGGAAGTCCTGCTCCTGGGCCAGGCAGTACACCACATCAGCTGCTTCCCCTCCTGCAGACATCCTGGTCCTGTTTCAGCCCCTGAGGTGTTTCCTCTGAAGCACTTTGCACCTGCAGAGAGCGGTCGACGGTTCCTCTGCGAAGCTTCTGGAGAGTCCAGAGGTCAGAAAGCTGTCTGCTGAGCCAACGCTCAGGGCTGCGTTCAGCATCCACACCCCTGCAGCTGGGGCTGGAGTGCTGACAGCGTTCGCCTCTCACAGCGATAGTTTCATCTGTCAGATTATCATCGTTTCTGTCTCTGAGTGCTTTAGTGGTAAAACTGATTCAGATTTTCAGAATAAAAGCTTTGTTTCAGCATTAAAAACATGTAAAATTCTTTCTGCAGGTGCGTAAAGTTCAAACTGTTCAAACTCCACTTCTGCAGAACTTCGGGTGACTGTGAATGCAGCTTCTGAAGCCACGCCCTCTGCCGAGGATTTCACCAGCAAAGGATCCATCAGCATCCAATCAGATGGTGGAGGTGTGAGATTTAAAGAGTTACCTGTAAGAGGAAACCTTCAGAGACCAAACAGTCACACCTGGTGGTGAAGTGCCAGCGCTGCAGTCACGGTGACGGGGCAGGTGTTTAGGAGCAGGGCTCTGGTTGGGTTTGCTGGTTTAGACTTGTAAATACTAATAAAAATGAACAGAAAAACAAAGGGGAGGAGCCTCATGTTGGAGAAGCAAACATGTCGGCACAGGTGCTGACCAACTCGCAGAGAACAGTGTGCTCGTAATAACAGACGTTCAGGTTTTCTGCTGCTTCAGCCTGAGGCACACATCACACTCGTGCTTCTACATCCTCTGCTGAGCAACCTCTGACCTCTGACCTGCTGCTCAGGTTCAACAGGTAGTGGTCAGAGTGAATTGAGCTGCTGTGAGATTAACTTTGAGAAAATGCTTCTCGTGGCCGTCAGGATGGGCTTGTGGGTGAAGTGTGGGGTCAGGCCTCTTAGGTCCAAATCATTCGGTTCTCCTCTCAGCATCTCTACAGAGGAACACCTTAGCCCCCCCAGGTCTTCACAGCTGACGATGACACAGAGTCATATGACGGCTGATAACACGGGAACTGTCAGAGGAGCCATCTTCAGCAGAGCCTCAAACCTCCAGAGCCCAGAGGCAGGAGAGCAGGTCCAGGGACACTTGGAACATCTGCATGCTGCCAATGGAAGCGATCCCTCCATCTTTGTCCAGGGTGGGCTCCTGCACCGGATGCACGGTCATTGGATATTCCATGACGCTGTAAATCACGTCAGACCGGAGTCATTTTTATCAACTCTTAACCTTTAACAACCTGCTGCAGATTTGAACTCACTGTTCAAACTGGCTAATTCGCTTTAGTGCTGATTTTATCTGTTGTCAAGTTTTGTTTTGCAATTCTAACTTATTTTATATATTTTTATAACTATTGTCCTTTTCATTTTTTCTTTTGTAGGTGATCTTGGGTTTCTGAAAGGCGCCCTCAAATAAAATGTATTATTATTATTATTATTATTATTATTATTATTATTATTATTACATTAATAATAATATTATTAACATTCCTGTTGGTGGCCCTCAGACAGCAGAGGGCTCTGTTTAGTCTGCCTGATTATAGGAAGAGAAGAAGAAGTCGGGCATGCGCAGAGGCGGAGGAGGCTGTGAGCTGCCAGCTGGACTCCGTGTTCCACCGTGAAGCGACACGAACGTCCGTGTGTGTGTGTGTGAGAGTGTGAGTGTGTGAGAGAGAGAGAGAAAGAGAGAGGAGGAGGAGCACCGCTGATGAAGATCCGGAGCGTTTGTACCGGAAACGACAACAGCAGAGCTCCGTGTGTCAGCTGTGAGTATCCTCTGCTGCTCCTCCGGTCCGACCGGGACCGCGCCTGGAGAGTGCTGGAAAGTTTTTGAATGGCACACAAAGAGGAAGAGTGAGAAAAGTACTGAGTTTAGAAGTACTCTGTTACAGTAAAAGTACAGGAGTGTGCTGTGCGGTTATGAGAAGTCATAAGTGTCACTGCAGGTGTGACCAGTGGGAGTCTGCACATGCTCAGTTCGACCCTCTCCTGGGTAGACAGTAGGAGCTTGGACCATTTGTTTTGGAGGTAAGGTGAGTTTACCTTCATCTCTGACTGAGTAATCTAAAGTAATCCCATTCTGGGTGTCTCGCCTCAACCGGGGACCTCATTAGTGAATGAGCCCGGTTGGATGAGCTCTGCTCCACCCTGGCTGTGGCGAGCGTGCTCTGGGTTGGAGCGTTTCACCTGGTGTGTTGTTGTGATGTCGTTCGTCTCAAGCTGAGACTTTGCAAAGGCTGTATATCAAAGATGGACACGGCTGCTGTGACACTGACCGCTGGTTGAAGTCCCGCGTTGATTGTTGATGTCATCGGTTGTTTGCAGCCACCCAACGACCAATGAACCAATGGCCCTCAGTCTGCAGGAGAAACGTCCTTGTGGTTTCTTTGGGCGCTCGCAGGCTGCCGTAGCGGGCTGTAAACATGTTGTAAAGTTTTAACCTGAGGGTCTGAGGGATCACCTCACTGCTGGGCTGCAGCTTGTGTCCATCTTTTACGTACAGTCTTAACAGGAAGACCTTTGCTAGACCATAATTGGGACAACAGGTGATGACATAAATGTGGCGGGTACAGCTGAGGCTGGCTCGGTGGAGTGTTTCCCTCTGAAGCATGACTTGGATTCACCCGTGAGGCTGTTTTATTGTTCAGCTCATGTGACTTCAGGTGAATCGGAGGCGGTCTCAGTCTGCAGGTTCCTCGCTGTCGTGTTTGGAAGCTAAGAGACGTGGGACAGGTCGGGCTTGTTTGCAGAGAAACACGTTTGGCAGCCTATCAGGTCTCAGCTCAGGTGTGTGCGTTTGGGTGTGTGCCTACCAGGATGTCCTCCTCAGAGCTGCTTTACCTGCTCTCCACACACACACACACACACACACACACACACACACACACACACACACACACACACACACACACACAACTGCTTTGCCTGTTTGTCAGCTGCTGCTAGGTCATGTGACCCACACAGATGCCTTTTGCACACTGCTGCAGCGTCTCAGGCTTTCAGAACAGCGAAGGTGTCGTATTCAGGAACTCGAGCTGAAGAGCTTCAGCTGTGACCTCTGCTCTGCTTTCCCATACAGTGTCCGCCTCTAGCTCCTCCTCCTCCCCCCTCTCTGTCTGGTACTGATCCAGGTGTGAACCTGTGTCTGCAGGTGATGGATGCAGAGAGCGGGGAGCTGTTTCTCGGCGTCATGGCATCCGGGAGCTGGCAGCTCGACGGTCCGTTCTCCTCCTCAGAGCTCATCCCGGCCGGCTCAGAGAAGCCCCTGCAGGACTGGGCGGTGGACCCCGAGTGTGTGAGTGTCTGTGATCACATGACCACTCAGAGAGGAAGTGTTTATCTGAAACTTTGAAGTGGCGGCGAGTTTTTCCATGTCTGATGTGGCCTTGCTGTTCGTGACTGTGTAAAATGTGACCTTCATCAGATTCTCAATGACAGCGACTCCGAGGACGTCCTCCACGCCGTCGATCCAAACGAGGTGTTTCCCAGCGGGCCACCGGCTGACCCGTCATCAGAGAGCGACAGCGGGATCTCCGAGGACCCCGCCGTCGAGAGTCCTGTCACCATGGTGACTGCAGCGGGCACCCAGCTGGAGCCAACGACAGTTTACCAGCTGGTTTATGACATCAGCGGGCTGGGCGGTGCTAAGACTGGAGCTGGACAGGAGAACATCATCTCCATCGAGCTCGGTGAGGCCACGCTTTGTTTCTGCTGTTCAGGATTCGATGAATCAGGCGACATTCAGCGGCGGCAGCTAGCTTCATGCTCGTGTCGACTGAGCTTAAAGAAGTTTGTTTAATTAAAGCATCAGCAGATGATTCATGCTGAGAATCAGCTGAAGTCCAACTTTAGTGTAGTACCAGGTGTCTCCACCAGGGGGCGTGTGAGTATTAACAGAAGCTATAGCATACATTTTCATTGCTATGCAGATGATGCCCATCTCAGTGGTACCTCAGATGGCCCCGCCCCTCCCGAGCCTGGCTCTGCTGGAGGTTACTTCCTGTTAAAGGGGAGTTTTTCCTTCCCACTGTCGCCAAAGTGCTTGAGTGTTTGTCTCTATGGTTGGAGGGTCTTTACAATATAAAGTGATTGATTTGGCGCTACATGAACAAAGTTAATTGAATTTAACTACGAACTCGTTCTGATGTGAAACTGCGAGCTGGTTTTGCACACGGATGAAACACTGCCCCCTGCTGGTGACGTCATGGTTAGTTTGGAACGATGATGATTTTAAATCATTGTTTAATATTTTTAGGTGGCGTTCACTGAAGCTTTCAGCTTCCTGTTAAACGACCTGGTGTGAAGCCAAAAACTATGACTCCACCCATTTAAAGAAAAAATCGACAGTGTGATGTAAGCACGGCAGAAACAGGAAGGAGTGGCGTCGTTAATGGTGGTGCACTCTCTCTGCAGATCAGTGGAGCTCTCAGCTGCTGCTGTCGGACTCGTGCGTCGTGAGCGAGCTACCTGTGGTTTCGGCGCCGCGGCTCACCGTCCCTCCTCCCAGCCTCGACGACGACCTGGTGAGCCTCTGTTTCCTTTTTTTTTTTTTTTTTTTTTTCCTTGTCCTTCGTCAGGCTCCGCCCTAACGACTCATTCTTCTTCTTCTGTTGCAGCTGTGCCTGGATCTTCAGCTGACCGAGGAGGAGCAGAAGCTGCTGACCCAGGAGGGCGTATCGCTGCCCAGCAACCTCCCCCTCACCAAGGTCGGGTGCACAGATGCTCTCAGGCCGCCGCGTTTCTGTGTCAGGTGCACGCTGCTGACTTTGAACCGAACTTTATTCACAGGCCGAGGAGCGAATCCTGAAGAAGGTCCGGAGGAAGATCCGCAACAAGCAGTCGGCTCAGGACAGCCGGCGGCGGAGGAAGGAGTACATCGACGGGCTGGAGAGCAGGTAACCGGCCAGCTGACCGTCGCCGCGTCGCTGACATAGACTCCATTTCCAGACGTGTTGTGAGGTTTTTTCAGCGAGTCGATAGTTCGTCCCCCCGCCTTCATTTATCTGCTCTCACTTTCAATTTGAACTTCCTTCCATCCTCCAGGGGTCGTGACCCCGCTGAACTTCAGCCGTCTCCAGTGTCGCAGTCCACGTCACGAGGGTTAACGCTGGATGAGGGCGGCGTTGTCACACGTTCACCTGCAGATTGGCTGCTATGAGCAGGAGAAGGAGGGGCTCGCTCTGTGTCAGCGAGAGCGGCTCAGATGTGTTTTTGTTGTGGGTTCAGAGTAATGAGGGAGTCACAGCTGTGTGTTAAATCGATGCTATAGGTCCGTCGTGACCACAAACCCCGCCCCATATTGTGTTTCCTCCTGTGACTTCTTCAGCTTAGAGAAACCTCAGCGCCACCTGTTGTATTGATGATGAAACCGCAGAGCGACAGAAAGTTACGCCTTGACACCGAGCGGCGTCGCCGGGTTACTGGCGTTAAATTGTCATTAACGAAGACGGCGCTAAACGTGTTTTTAAAGCTCTCAGCCTCACAGGCAGAGTTACGTCTGTGTGAGCGGTGATGTAAATAACCTTCGTGTGTGTGTGTGTGTGTGCGTGCTGACAGGGCGGCGGCGTGCTCGATGCAGAACAAAGAGCTGCAGCGGACGGTGGAGCAGCTGGAGAAACGTAACAAGTATGAACACGCTTTACTGATTATTGAGGTCACAGAGAGGTCACTTCCTGTGACATAAACACAGGGAACGATGTCGAGCTCACACTCTGTAGGTTTTATTGTAATCTCACACAGTTTGGTGACATGAGTTTATTTATGAGCTTTTCCAGGATAATTGATCAGGTGACCCTCACTCCTGAATCCTGACTCGGAGGATGAAGGAGGAAAGTTGGGATTATTTGTTAGTGTGTTCAGGAATACCACAGACATGTTATTCCAGACACTTCTGTCACAAACAGGATCAGAAACATCCACATCAGGGAGACCTCCCTGTGGTTCTGACTCCCACCAACAGGGGGCACTGTGCTCTCCCTTTAAATGTGAACCTCGGACAGCTCAGTCACGAGGACCTGAGTCTGTCTGAAACAGTCAGATTTACTTTTTAGTTTCTTCTTGAACTTCCTGCTGAGTTTGCTGCTTGCTGATTGGTTCACCTGTTCAGGTAAGCCCTAACCAGCCCCTGTGTTCCTGCTCCTCAGCTCTCTGCTGGCTCAGCTGCAGCAGCTTCAGTCTCTCATCAAGCAGACGGTCAGTAAAGGAGCCCAGACCAGCACCTGCCTACTGGTACGACCACCTTAAACCCGTTAAGGTGGAATGAAGTCTGTTTTGTTTTTGTTTGTTTGTTTTAGTTCTGCTCCTA